TTACATTCATTCATTTAATATCACATCATATTTCATTTAATGTTATATAATATTGAAAATTTATACTTTTATATAATATTATAATTATATTTTTATATTTTTTATGTGGGTTAACTAAATAATTGATGGATTAATGTAATTAAATAAAAAAATAGACATATATATATATAAAAAAACAAAACAAAACAAAACAGAAAAAAAATCTCTTCATCTTCCTCTTCCTGCTTCCCTTTCTTTCGCCCTCTTCATCCCCCTTTTAAACCTTCACTTTCTCTCTTTTCTCTTCTCTATCTCTCTCTCCTTCCCTTATATCCTTTCAACGGCAGCAAATCTGGGTCCACACTAAGAGCTCAAGCTGGCTGAAGAACAAATTAGGAATCAAAGAAAGTTTTAGACTTGGTAACAAAGAAATAGGAGCAAAGGAATTTGTACAGGAAATTTGAAATTAAGAAATAAAATTATTGTTTGATTCTAGGTATGATTTTGAGTTTAATTTATTTTTTTAGATATAAAATCATATCTGACGTGAAATAAATTTTGATTTGAATGATAAAACTCTCTATTTAGTCCAATTCCAGCCTTGGATTTCCCTTTTTTTTTTTCTCTCTCTCTAACTACAATTTATGGTTCGGAATTGATAGCCATGTGTTCTCCTAGTTCATCTCAATTTCTAATGGCATCTACTGGGCTTATATTATATTAAAAGAGAGAGAGAAAATTAGTGGAGGTACTCAGCTGCACTTTTTTGTACTTTTATTTTGCTTTTAGATAAAATTGAAATCAAAAAACTGTTTTACAAAATGAATTGTATGCAGTTCATTTTATGAAATTAATTAAATATCTTTGAAAAAATAATATAAAAACAAATTTAAAGGCATTTAAGTAATTTTATAGGATGGACTGCAGTCCGTCCTATAGAACAAATTTCTCAATTGAAATTAAGGATGATTGTGGTGGAAATAGAGGGGGTTAAGTGAGGAAGTATTGTTGAGAAAGTGAAGGGGAAGGTTTGAAGGAGATGAATGGTTAAGGGTAAATTTGTAATTTTATATTTTTACTTAGTTTGTTAATTTTTAATTTATTATTTTATTTATATTTATATAAAATTAATCAAAATGCTAGCAATATCCGAAAAAAAGGTATTGACATGGCAATTTTGTGCTGACAAGGCACTGACAAGTTATGGGTTAACGGAATAATGACGACCAAGTGACGACTCGTCCATTTTGGGTCAATCACCTTTATCACGTGAATTTAAGAGTCAATTTTGTTATATTGTATGTTGGGGGTTTAATGGTCCCAAAGACAACAAATTGGAGGGCATCAGCGGGTTAATCCCGAATTTTATTTCGTATAAGGTGAAATATTAATTTTGGGCTTTTTAATTTTAAAGTTTTACATAATTTTTTTCTCTTAATCTTTTTGTGTACTTTTTAGTCCCTTAACAATAAAAAATATATTTTTTTAATTTTTTATTAATTAATTCATTTTAATCTCTCAATTTATAATATATATATATTTTTCATCATTTGATTTAAAAGTTTAGAAACCAAAAATTTATATATTTAAATAAATTTAATAAATTAACTAATAAAAAATTAAAAAAAAATATTTTTTATAATTAAGAGGCGAAACAAGTGCATAAAATATTAAAAAATCAAAATTATATAAAACCCTAAAGTTAACTAAAAACTCACATTTAACATTCATATAATGATAAGTTTCTGCTTTGAAAGCCAAAACGAAAAGAAAAAGGAAAAATTAGCGCTACTTCTTTTAGTGTTGAATTCAATGGGTTCCATCAGGCCTATAAAGCTCAAATTGAGGCCGAGAAGTTAATTCAGGATTGGCTTTAATTAAAGTAATTTCTAAGTTTGGCTTCTGAGAAATTTGAAATTTTGAATTTTGGGTTAAGGTTTTCCATTATTCTCTCAAGAAAATCAACACAGAATGCTTGAATTAGAACAAATCTCATCAAAACAAACTCAACTTGCAGAATATAATCACGCGAGCTGAAAAAATATTGAGAATATTGATGAATGGAGAAGCGAAGCCAAACAGTCCGATTATGAAAACAGAACATAGAAAGAGAAATTAAGGCTTCAATCACAGTAATCACAGCAATCAGCTAGAAATTGATGAAGACTCTAATCATCATTCCATGAACTTCAGTGGTAAGTCATTAATCAAAGCTCAAAATAAATCTCGGATAAGCTGTATTGATGTGGAAAAAGATCTGCACAAATACCGGTCACCGAATCCGATCACTTACTGCTACCTCGATCTTCAACTCGAGTAGAGTTCGAATCGCCTTTGTTTTATTAGCCCCACAAATTTAAAAAAGGCGTACATTACCTTTGAAATTTGACTCGAGAATAATCTTAATTATAATAAGAGGTTTGAAAGAAAAAGGTGAAGAATATTAATGGTTAGGTACAATATACAAATTAAACAAGACTAAGCTAAACATAGAATAATATTGTTATACCTTTCCTATGGTACTTTAAATTTATTGACGGATTTTTAGATTTTAAGTAATTGATATTAGGGTTTTTAATTTAGTATTATATGTATTCTTTAACTTAAAGAAGTTTAGACGTAATAGAAATATTAAACTAAAGCAGATGTTTTGCATTATTTACCTTTCAAATTTACTTAAAAGTTATAATTATTTAGTAACCAAATGATAAATTGAATATACCAAAAAAAGATTAAATTGAAATTATAAACATATATTGTGTAAGCAAATTTTGTTGAATTTAATTATTTTAATATATAAAATTGACATCATCTTTTTTAAAAGTCAAAATAAATTTAAATTTTAAACATTCTCCTACTAGAAAACCTCCACCCCATTAAAAAGTAATTTACTTAAATTTAATAATTTTACAATCAGCATTATTAAAAACCTCTCATGCTATTTTATTTTATTAGTAGTTTTTGTTAAATTTAATAATTTAAATATAAAAAATGATATTATCTAGTTACAATTAAATTGGAGTAATATTTTATTTATAAAAAAATATTAATATTTGACATATAGCATACTAAATATAAGAAAGAGGTGGCGTTATTCCGGTGAACCCCATCACCGCATCAATCAGACTGTCCATGCAGTGTGACAAGGAACAGTGGTCGATCCGTATGTCCTTTGAACCGAATATGGAGATCCCATCACCGTCCGATTCGGTTCGCCACCCGTAATGTGTTGGACTAGACCGCACATTAGCCTCACCCGACCGTACACAATGGTGAATGTGGATGTCGTGAAGGATGACGTTGCTAATGTACTGCAATGTAATGCAGCCGCCGCCGGTGATGTGCACATTCGCCCCACGCCCGTCAAGTGTCTTGAGGCGGTTAAATATGAGCTCTTGTTTGAGCTTAATATGCATGTTGCCAGGAAACATGATAGGAAGTATTTTTATATGTTTTAATTTATTATATTAACCTTGATTTTATTACTATTTACAAAGATAATATGAGATTTTTAATAGATTTTACATAATTGTTATTATTTGTGCAAAAAAGACTTAAATACATAATAATAGGAGTTTTTAGGATTGATGGAATATCTTTTGAAAGTTGAGAGATTGAATTGCAACAAGAAAGGCACTTCTTTCTTTGGGACCTAAATGAATGAGTATTAAGTTATTGGATCTAATTTCTCATCATACAAAATCTGGAGGACCAAATCTGTTATTTTACCATTAAAAAAATTACAAAAAAACCAAAAACCCAACACGAGCATGCTGTTGACACATAATTCGGAGTGTCAATACCATGCTTTAACCGCCCATAATTAAAGTTTCATGTTTTGTGTCGACACGTAATTCATAGTGTCAACATCATGCGTTAAAAGTCCAAAATTGAAGTCTTATGTTTTGTCCCAAGTCCGACTTCTTTTTTATTAGGGTTTCTTAAATTCTATAAATAGTAATTCAAAAATCAGATTAGGGCTTTTTGGAGGAGACCAAGAGAGACGGTGAAGGAGAATTCAACAACAAAAAAAGATCCATACTTTAGATCTTATATCGCTAAATTAATTTTGCTTGTCCTTAAATTTTATTTTATTATGTTAAATACTTGTGTATTCTTTATGGGATTGTTGATTTTCTTTTGTTTAATTATGAACTAATGTAGCTATTTAAGACTATGAGTAGCCTAATTAATTTAATATAGAATTTTATGATTTTTATATTTTCAAAATTTATTATTTTATGTAAAATACATATTATTGTTCTTAATACTTTTTAATGATTAACTACCATTAAAACTGATTTAAAGAGTATAATTGAGACTGAGAGGAGATTTTAAGTAGTAACTTCTAATAATATATACCATGAATTGAACGAAAGTCAAGGATGAACGAATGTGATTCGTATAGTATTAATGATAAGTGGATTTAATTTTTTACGTAAACTAAGGAATTTCACAAAATGTAATACATCTTTATTTATTTAAATTCACATAAAGATATAGTGTGTTAATAGGTAAGGATAAGTTTGGTATAACATGAGAAAATATATCGAATAGGGTAGGAAATCCCGTTGTCACATGAATAATAAATACCTTAGAAGTATATTAATCTAAATCATATATTGATTGATTATGGTAAAATCAAATGTTTTAGAATTTTAACTCTTAGTATTACTTAAAATCAATTTAGTTTTTCCTTTAATTGTTCTTCTATAATTGTTTTAGTTAATTACTTTATTTAAATCATTTAATTTTAATTATTTAAATAAAATTAGAATTAGTTAATTTTGGTACTTAATTAGCCTACAATCTCTATGGACCAATACTCTATTCTTATCATTATATTACTTGAATTGACTAATACTCTTACTAAAGTGGATTTAGATCATAAAGTTTTTGGTACCATTTTCAGGGATTGTATTGATTCTAATTAATATCAAAGCAAATTAATTCTAGATTTAATTTGACTTTTTTTTTTCTTTTATTTGCTTTTCAAGTGTGCAAGTTAGTGCATGACTTGTTTTGAAAACACAGAACTTGCATCATTTGATCCTGAGATAAACCAAAATTTTCACCTTTTAAACAAAAGGAAGGAAGCTTTAGCTGTGAATCAACCTCACAAGATGGTAGAGGAAGCTGTTGCAAGAACCTTGAGAAAGTATGGATCACCTTCGATGGACAGTGTAGCCTCGTGTATAAGAAAACCAGCAATACAAACTAACAACTTTGAAATTAAGCCAACTTATATTCAGATGATTCAACAATCAGTTCAATTTGGTGGATTGCCGAATGGAGATCAAAATGAACATCTTACTAGATTTTTAGAAATTTGTGACACATTCAAATATAATGGAGTTTCAGAAGATGCATAAAAATTGAGACTTTTCTCTTTCTCTTTGAGGGATAGAGCAAAGGATTGGTTTTACTCTTTACCTTTGGACTCAATTACTACTTGGGAAGAGATGACAAGCAAATTTCTTGGTAACTACTTTTCTCTGTCAAAAATTGCCAAGATGCATAACAATATTACTACTTTTATACAGTTTGACATGGAGTCATTATATGAGGCATGGGAGAGATACAAAGAGTTACTTAGGAAGTGTCCACATCATGGTCTACCTATATGGTTATAGGTACAAACTTATTACAATGGTCTTATTCCAAATACTTGTACCATGATTGATGCAGCTACAGGTGGATCATTAATGAGTAAAATCCCTGAGGAAGCTTATAAGCTAATAGAGGAGATGGTTTCAAATAATTGTCAATGGAATTCTAAAAGAACACCAATCAAAAGAAATGCTGGAATACATGAAGTTGACACTCTCAAAGTCCTAATTGCTCAAGTGGAGCCCCTCCATAGGAAATTCAATAAATTGAATGTTTCTTCTATGCATGTCTAGAATGTCACTTGTGATTGGTCTGGAGGAGAACATGCAAGTACTATATGTCAGGTAAGTAATTCCTTTGCTCAATCATATGAGAATGCTAACTTTGTTGGTAATTTTAACAGGCAAGAAAATAATCCCTACTCCAACACTTACAATCCTGCTTGGAAAAATCATCCAAATTTTTCTAGGAATAACAATCAAAATGTGGTAAAGCAACCTCTAGGATTTTAGCAACCACTTGAAAAAAAAAAAAAAAAATCAGATTTGGAGGACTTGCTAAAAAAGTTCATTGCTGTTAGTGAATCAAGGTTTCAAAGTCAAGTAGCAATAATCAAGAGCTTAGAAGCAGTAGTTGAGAACCAAGGTGCATCAATTCGAAATTTAGAAGTTTAGTTGGATCAATTGGCAAATGTAATTTCTGGAAGAAACCAATATGCTCTATCTAGCAACACAGAGATAAATCCCAAAGAACATGTAAAAGCTATAAATTTGAGAAGTAGGAAACAAATTGGTGATGAAGAAGACATAGAGAAAGAATCAAAAGAGGAAGAAAAAGAAAAAGAAATTCAAGAGCCACCCAAACCCGAAGAAGTCAAGCCTTATGTGCCTCCAATTCCTTTTCCTCAAAAATTGAAGCAACATAAACTAGATAAGCAATCTGCTAAATTTCTTGAAGTTTTTAAGAAGTTACATATTAACATTCCTTTTGCAAATGCTTTAGCTCAAATGCCTAGTTATGTCAAGTTCTTGAAGGAGATATTATCCAACAAGAGGAAATTGGAAGATCATGAGACTATGAATCTTATTGAAGAATGTTCAGCAATTCTTCAAAATAAGCTTCCTCTAAAATTAAAAGATCCAGGAAGTTTTACTATTCCTTGCACTATTGGAGATTTTCATTTTGGGAAAGCTTTATGTGCTTTGGGAGCTAGTATTAACGTGATGCCTTTTTCTATTTTCATGAAATTGGGATTAGGAGAACCAAAGGCAACCACTGTATCTCTTCAACTTGCAGGTCGATCTATCAAATATCCAAGGGGTATAATTGAAAATATACTAATAAAGGTGGACAAATTTATTTTTCTTGTAGATTTTATAGTTTTAGATATGGAGGAAGACTTTGAGGTACCTCTTATCTTAGGTCGCCCTTTTTTAGCAATTGGCAGGACATTAATTGATGTTCAGCAAGGAAATTAATGCTTAGAGTAGTAGTTGAGAAAGTTACTTTTAATGTTTTTAAATCTATGAAATACCCCTCCAATTCTTATTCATGTTTTATAATACATGTTATTGATATGGCTATTGGAAAGATACTACAGGTAGCAAATTTTAAAGATCCACTAGAGGCATGCATTACCCATTCCAAGGATATCAATGATGAGAATGAAAGAAGTAGAAAGTGTGCACTTCATTTGGTAGCCCTTCCACAATATTCCATCTCAAGTGTGCCAAAAATAGAAGTTCTTGACACCAAGTCATCTCAATTTAAACCGTCACTTGAAAAAGCTCCTAAACTTGAACTCAAATTGTTACAATACATTCATCTACCCCCTAGCTGAATGCCTCTTATTTTCATTCCCTATGGGGTCCAAGCTCTTGAAGCTGCACTAGAGACCTTCCATTCACCTTAAGCAAATGTCAGCACCCTATCATCCCCTGGGCCCACGCCGACGGCATCGGACCTGATCTTATGCTGATTTGGGTCTTTGGGTTTCCAAGTCCTTCCATACAACGGCAGGCCCATAACCACCTTCTCACGATAGACCCCGGCCTTGACCCATGAAGTTAGCCCGTAACTCGTGCTTATGTTACTATTTGGGTCATAAAGGCATGGGCCCCCGTTTTTGAAGTATCCCAACTTTCGTGAAAGTCAAAGCACATTGCGTTGATCCAATCCAGATTTCGGTTAATGGACTGGACCGGGTACGAACGCTCGACGTCGGATAGGAAGAAGTCGACGGAGAAATACACCGCCGCCGTGAGCAGAAGAGGAGCGCGGTGGGTAGCCTTAGCCTCTGCCTTGATTGCTTCCTGCCATTTGTTGAATAGTATGCTCAAGTTTAGCATTTGCTTCGGGTTCTCCGGAAATTCCCAATCGAGATCCATCCCGACAAAACCGAGATTCCGCGCCTTCACATTTAAAGTATGCTTATATAGAAAATTGTTCTTTACCAGTAATTATCTCTTCTTCTTTGATAGGTTTGATGGAAGAAAAACTCCTTCGAATTTTAAGAGAGCACAAATGAGCAATTGGGTGGACTATAGCTGATATCAAGGGAATTAGCCCTTTAATTTACATGTACAAAATTCTCATGGAGGAAAACTTTAGACCCACTATTCAATCAGAAAGGCATTTGAATCCACATATGCAAGAGGTAGTGAAAGCTGAGGTAATTAAACTGGTTGATGCAAGAATTATTTATCCTATTTTTGATAGCTCATGGGTAAGTCCAATTCAAGTGGTTCCAAAAAAAAAAGGAGGTATGAAAATGGTTGAGAATGAGCATAATGAATTAATTCCTATTAGAACAGTGATTGGTTGTCGTGTACATAGATTATAGAAAATTAAACGATGCCACTAGAAAAGATCACTTTCCTTTATCTTTTATTGATCAAATATTGGAAAGACTTGCTGGACATGCTTTTTATTGTTTTCTAGATGGTTATTCAAGATGTAATCAAATTCCTATTGCACCTGAAGATCAAAAGAAAACCATTTTTACTTGCCTATATGGTATTTTTGTTTATAGGAGGATGCCTTTTGATTTTTGTAATGCACCTGCCACTTTTCAAAGATGCATGATGGCTATATTTCATGATATGGTACAAAAGTTCCTTGAAATTCTCATGGATGATTTTGCTGTATTTGGTGATTCTTTTGATGCATGTTTGAAAATTTTGGATTTGGTTTTGCAAAGATGTGAGGAAACTAATCTTATCTTGAATCGAGAAAAATGTCATTTTATGGTGCAAGAAGGATGGGACATAAAGTGTCTTCTAGAAAAATTGAAGCTGACTGAGCAAAGGTGGAGGTGATTGAAAAATTATCCCTACCTACTTTAGTCAAGGCTGTGAGAAGTTTGCAGGCCATTAACAACTTCAAGGAGAAGTTCATAATTGCATCCATCATGAACTAACATGATTCATGCAGCATTAGTGATAAATGGACTTAATTTTTTACATAAACTAGGAAATTTCACAAAATATAATGCATTTTTTTCTATTTAAATTCACAGAGATATAATAGGTTAATAGGTAATGATATGTTTAGTATAAATTAAGAAAGTATATTGAATATGATAAAAAATCTCGCGATCATATGAATAATAAATACCTTGAAAGTATATTAATCTAAATTCTATATTAATTGATTATGATGAAATAAAATGTCTTAGAATTTTAACTGTTGGTGTTACGCAAAGTCAGAGTGATTCTTCCTATATCACAAGATATCTCAGTTTCCCTGACTTGGGAGTAACAATGCCATCGTCAGAGGAATCCATGACAATGTAGTACTCGCCCCCTTTGCCACCGAGGGCATACTGGCTAAATCCAATGGCACAATCAGCCAGCCTCTGGAGGTTGTTGGCCCAGTCAGGGTCACATTTCCAGCAGTCTATGGGGTTGCCGGTCAAACATGAGGATTGGTCTTTCTGTGAAATTTGTAGTGTCTGCCTTCTTGATATGGACTCATTTACTCTCCTGATTTTCCAATGGGAAAACAAATTAGATTTGCAATAGTTAATGCACCTATTGGTCCAATAATAGTGTAGTAGATGACAGAGGATAGGGTGAGGATGCATTATGCACATTAGCCGAAAATACTAAAGCTAAAAGCAAAGTAGAAGGGGGAAATGAAAAAGATGCAAAAGAAGACAAGTTGAGATATGAAGTACGAAACAAGAAAACATAAAATCAATCAAGCAAGGATTTCTAAAGTGAAGAAAGAAAAGAAACGCAGAGCAACCAACATTAAAATGAACAAGTCCGTTGGGTCGTCTAGTTTTAAGAGTCTAAAACCTATATATATATATATATCTATATTAGAGATTTAAAGTTCAAATCTCATGTGCTATGACAAAACTTACCGAAAACCATTAAAATGGAGGGACAGAAAACCAGCTTATCTGTTAATGTGAGAAGAAAAATAAGAAAAATAAGTTTAAATATGGTAGTACTTTTTAATAAAAAAATATAATAGTACTTTAGTTTTACAAATATTAAATTAAAATAATTAATTGATAATAATTAATTTTAAATATATCATTTAGTCAAATTATATAATTTACTAATATAAAAAATAACATACAAATAAAAAAATTATAAATTAACCGAAGCTACCACATCATTTTTATCTTTGATGTGGTTTACTTGAATATTATCAATAAATAGGGTTTATTACATATTATTTATTTGCAAGGACTTTCTGTCTATTCTGAATTCATTGTGTTCCACAAAAACTATCTTCCTAACTAACTCAAGCAGATGCAGTCGATCATGCATAAGTGTCACCTTGTTCCCAACTATCTCTTATATGTTAAAATCTACAATGTTCAAAAGGATCCCACGTGCTCGTAATAAATAATGAAACATTGATTCCCTAGATTAAAATTAAGAGTGTAACTCTTTTTCTCTGCCCAAAAAATGACTTAACCTAAGAAATATACCGAAATACCTTAACAAAGACAAATAAAACAAATAAAATACATTGATAAAGAAACAAATTCAACTTAACCTCACTTAGGCAATTTAACAAACATATGGCGGTGGACATGACAAAGGGCACTTGAAGCCTTCCGGCCTTTGTTTTATCAACCCCACAAATTTCAAAATGGTGTACACTACCTTTGAAATCTAACTCGAGAATGGTCTTAAAAATAAAATAGTTGGTGAATCAAAGTATACTGTAGGAAAATTATAATAAAAGTTTGAAAGAAAAAGGCAAAGACTATTAAGGGTTAGTCACAATATACAAATTAACAAGATTAAATTAGATATAAAGTAATATTCTCATATCTTTCCTATGGTACTTTAAACCTATTGACGGCTTCTTAGATTTTAAATAATTAATATTAGGGTATTTAATTTAATATTATATATATTCTCTAACTTGAAAAAGTTTAAACGTAATAGAAATGTTAAACTAAAGCAGATATTTTGCATTATTTACCTTTGAAATTTATTTAAAAGTTATAATTATCTAGTAACAAGATGATAAATTGAATATACCAAAAAAAAGATTAAATTGAAATTATAAACATATATTGTGTGGATAAATTTTGTTGAATTTAATTATTCTAATATATAAAATTAATGTCATCTTTTTTTAAAAGTCAAAATAAATTTAAATTCTAAACATTCTTCTACCATAAAACCTCCACCCCATTAAGAAATGATTTACTTAAATTTAATAATTTTACAACCAGCATTATCAAAAACCTCTCATCCTATTTTGTTTTATTAGTAATTTTTGTTAAATTTAATAATTTAAATATAAAAAATGATATCATCTAGTTACAATTAAATTGGAGTAATATTTTATTTATAAAAAATATTAATATTTGACATATATCATACTAAATATAAAAAGCAGGTGACGTTATTTCTCTGTCTAATTTTTGCACATTCCTAACACAAGGTGTCCATGCTACCTTTGTAGCACCGACACCTAATCCGTGTTGAGTTTTTGCTTAGAATTTTAACTTTTTTGATCTTAAACTTTTAAGATATTTTAATTTAAGTCTCTAAACTTAAGTTATTTGGCAATCAAATCTTTTCTCCAAAAAATAATTATATGCTTAAAATGAAAATTTCAAAAAAAAAAAGTTATTAAAATATAATATAAGTGAAAATGGGTGAAATTTATTACTAATATTTGAAATATGTCATAATTGTGATGAGTTGCAATTTGTTCATTGGTAAACTAGTAATCTTTTACTTTGTTAACACTTTGATCCCAAAACTGTTAACTTACTTAATTTCAGCTTCAGATTTTAACTTTTCTTGCTCTTAAGCTTTTAAAATATTTTAACTTAAGTTCCTAAACTTAAGTTATTGCAATCAAGTCTTTCTTCCAAAAAATAATTATTTGCTTAAAATGAAAATTTAAAAAAAAAAGTTATTAAAATATAATATGAGTGAAAATGGGTGAAATTTATTACTAATATCTGAAATCTGTTATAATTGTAATGAGTTGTAGTGATAACTTTTATAATCGAAAGTTTATATTCTATATGTGACCATTTCTTAGAGATGATTTATTTCATCATCATTGAACCTGTAGGTATTTATGACCAATACTTAAAATGTGTCACAATTGTGATGAGTTCTATGACAATTTTCATCCTCACAAACCCATATTATCTCCGTAACAGTTTTTAAGTGATGAAATACCTTTTAGTAATGATTTTTTTTTTATCGCTTAACATATAGATATTTATGATTAATATTCATAATTCATTATAATTATGATGAATTGTAGTGATGAATGTTTTCATTATAAGCTTATATTCTCTTTGTGATCATATGATAATAACGAAATATTTTTTTAGGGATGAATTTTTTTCATCATCGTTGAATATATATGCATTTATGACTAATTTTTAAAATATATCACAATTATAAAGAATTATAATGACAACTTTAGAATTCTTCATAAATTTTCATTATTAAAAACCCTTTCTCTTGTAATGAGAGAAGAGATCACTGTACTTTGACCATGGCCCCAGGTGCATAGTATGACTAGAAGGATCTGAAGCCTACCTTCCTAGCTCTCGTAAGATTTTCTCACGACCCCATAAGTCTCTTAGCACCCAAAAGCGTATCTCATTTCTGCTTGCTTTGATTTGGGAGTATAAAATTATTTAAATACCTTATTTACATGAATTAAAAATCCACATCCTTCGATTATTTAGAGTTTTGTATTTTATAATTTAAATTATATCAAATTACAAAATAGGAGTCCCTATTGAAAATTTGATTCAATCTAAATTACATAACAATTTTTTAAATTATTTAACATGAAATTTTCTAACTTGTTCCTTTAGATTAAAAGTGCAATTATTGTATACTTTTAACATTAATTCATGTTGAAAGGTTAAAATTTAATATTAATTTCACTATCAATA